AAAAAAAAAAAAAAAAAAAAAAAAAAAGACCAAATTTTCAAAACAAAGTAATAACTAGTTTAGCAAGAAATGATTATTTTGCTGGGCATGGTGGCACACACCTGTAATCCCAGCCCTCCTGAGGCTGAGGCTGGAAGATCACTGTGAGTTCAAGACCATCAGCCTGGGCTACATAGTGAGTTCCAAGTCAGTCTCAACCACACAGTGAAATCCTGTCTAAAAAAAAAAAAAAAAAAAAGATTAGTTTTCTAAAATGTCATACACCAGAAAATATTTTTCTCCCTTAAAAAATCTTATTATGTAGTACTTGTCATCATGCTAATTTTAGAAAAATGTGATCATAATGGAAATTGCTTTTTAATAAGTTTCATTTCAAAGGTTCCGAGTTGGAGAGTATTTGCCCAAATACTTTTTTTTTTTGGTTGTTGTTCCTTATTTCTGGAAGACTTAGGTTAAAGATGGCAGAATAGTAAGTTTGATTCTCATTTCTTCCATAAAATAATTCACATCATGGAACGTCCGAGGAAAAAACTTAAACTTTTGGCTTAATTTCAGCCTTTGTGCCTGCTTATTTTAACAGATTAAACTGTGAGCTAGCTAAGATACGAGAGAAAAAAAAAAATTGTTCAGTTAAAAGCTGGAAGCAGCAAGGGAGGCGCCAGGAGTCAGAGATGGCTCTCGGTACTCTTCGTGAGTATTTTTCCATGTGGGCTGGAGTAAGATCTTGTAAGGCACAGCCCCAGGTTACACATGCTGGGCTCCGATTCCACAGGATTTACAAGCCTCGTTACTGGAAAGAGTGTACAGCTCTCTCTCCTGGCTGTAGCGGCGGAGGAAGAAATGTTCACTGGACAACAAAAACTTTTCTGTTTGCAGAGTAAAATAAAATCTCGGTCTTCCGGTCACAGGGCGATAAAACTTGCCCTCTGAACTAACGCGGGCCGGGGGATCCATTTCCAAGGTCTAAAGTCTAACCAAACGCCACTCGTCCAAGACTGTCGTGGAACTGCAGTCACTTCTGAGTGGGCGGGCAGCCCGGTCCGGAAAGGCACTTTCTCACCCTGCGGGCCGCGGGGAACCTCGCGGGGCTCCGGCGGCTGAAGGGATCCGAAAGCGGAGCGAGCCCGCCCG